CCTTATAAACGATAAAGATGTGCAAATATTTCATTCTGTATCTACACACATTTTTTCAATAAATATTTTAAGTAAGATTTGTACATCTTAGTCAATTTATTTAATATCTTTCTTTAGCAAAACATATATATTTTCAAATTTATAAATTGATTTAAATCAATATGCGTATGAAGTCTTGATAGAAATCTGACTTTCTGTGCCTTAAAGTAAATGAAATTCAAAAATACTATATCGCGATACATCGCTATATCGCGATGCAAAACTGACGATATATCACGATATATAATTTCTAATATCGCCCAGTCCTAATTAGTACACAATTGTATGTCAACACATTATTTATCACATTAAACTGTGTGGAATTTATTATTAAAGGGTTGCGCTGGCATAAAATTTACTATCGTGAAAATTCAGCTTTTTTGCCTTTTGGCTAATCTCATCCCTGATTATCTCTTAAATTATTGCATATTACACATTAATATTTTTGTTTTTAATTCCATTATGCACTATTATAATTCATTGTATACTATTACATTATTTTTTATTACTAATAATTGGAATAAGCTGTTATGTTAAACAGTTAAAAACTTTTTTGATTGTAAATTATTCTTCAAAACAACATTATATGTTTAACAATATATGATATAGTGTATTTTTATCCTCTTCATTATAGGTTCCAATACCTTTCCTAATCATGCTAATTGTTCAATTTGCTACCATTGTCACTGACAGAGCTTTGTATTTAAGGAAATATATTTTAGGAAAGTTAATATTTCAAGTAATTCTAATTTTTATAGTTCATCTGTGGATGTTTTTTATTCTTCCTGCAATCACATCACGGTAAGTTCTTACAATGGTTTTCCAAATAATTTGTCGCCAATAATATTCGAAAACTTAGCACTTAATTTTTTTCCATTTATAAGCATCAGTCAAATCACATAATCTCTGCAGAGTAACTTTTCAAGTTTTACAACTAATGATCTAGGACATTTTGAAATTAAAATAACAAGTCAAATTATTTAGGTATTAGCTTAGTAATTATTAGTGTTAATAATAATTATCTTATTAAGAAATGTTAGTAGCATTCATATTAAATTTTAAATTAGTATTGCATATAATTTTAAGATTTTTATTTTACAAATATATTTTTCTGCCGCAAATAGTTTGCATCATAATTTTTTTTAAGTAAAAAGCTATGAGATTCATTTCTTACTATCAGTTAGTTGATTATGATCAGGCTACCCAAACAGATTTTAATAGTTTATAGATTTTAATTCTCCAGTTTTTTTTTTTTACAAGCAATATAAGTTTACAAATAAATGACATTAATTTGAATGATCAATGTAATTTAAATATCCAAAAAGTAGTTTTTAAAGTATTAAAATAAAATAATACTACGTTGCGATATTTTGAAATGAATAATTAGTGAACCTACTTATTTAAAATTCAGGTGTGGAATTTAGTTTTTTAAATGCATAACTAGTTTTTATTGTAAAATATGATTAATGTCTGCAATGAATCATGACGATTTATGTTGCCATTAATTTTTCAATTCTTATTTTGTATTTTAGAGATTTTGCAAATGCAGCTAACTTGCCGCCAAAGATGTGGTATGTAATAAAATGCATTTATTTCTTGCTGTCAGCTTATCAAATAAGGTCAGACTATCCAACTAGAATTTTAGGAAATGTCTTTTGCAAGAAGTATAATTATGCCAATCTCATCCTCTTCAAAGGGTAATTATTATTAAATTTAATGAACTCAATTACATTTTAGTTATTTTAACAGTACTCTGATCCTAACCCATTCTGATCAAGGAACACTCTTTTTCAAGATCATGCCTCATTTGGCGACGAAACGAATAACCAAAAGAATTTTTTTTTCCTTTTGGAAAGAACTTGTAATTAGAAAGCTAATAGTCTCATCCAACAACTGTATCTAATTACATATGGCATGGTACACTTCGCTACAGCCATGGCCCTTTATTCTGCAGACTGCTAGAGGAAGTTAGACGTTATGGAGAAAAAAATATGAGTCGAACATATAGTATAACAAATTTTAGTAACATAATATCTGTTTATGTGAGCTGCCTTTTGTAAGAACTGCCTCACAAAGGAATTGTACAATTTTAAGAACACATTTGATGTGCAGGTCTAAGAAAAATGGGAAAAAATTAAGCATTCAAAGTACATTAAAGTTTTAGATACATCAAAGTATCCAAAATAAAGTATTTTTTTAATGATACTTGTATCTGTAATATGATTTTTTTCATCAGAAATATATTTATTTAATTTATTTAATATACTAATGTACTAAAACACAAAGTAGAGTTTTTTATTTCTTTTTTCCCTTGATATTCTAAAATTTCTAGATAGTTATTTTAAAAGTTTCCATATCTGATCATTGTATACAGAACATTAACTGAGGGAAAGCGAATTTACTTTGTAAACATTTATTTCATCTGGTTTTGCTCTGTACATTTACCAGATCGCTAAGGTTTTTCAAATATCACTGAGAAATCTTTGTGTTTAAATCTGGATGCTCTTATATACCATGGAAAAGCTTGTACATCATTGTGCAAGGAATATTAGGAAGGTTTTTTTAGTTGCTGCTGCAATCTAAAAAGAGTGAATCAGAAAAAGAAAATTACTTCAAATTTTTTATAAAACACTTAGAGATCGAGGCTGTGATGGCATTGGTAAATGTAGCTATGATAAAATATGGTTATATTCAAATCGTGTAAAAAATTTGCTTTACAATCAATCATGCCCATTCATTAAGGTATTTTACCTTCTTATAAAAAAAATATAGTGATAACACATTGATTTTTTTTGTATTTATCAGGTGTGAAAAAAATTGGAACATTTCTTGTAGTACTTTTGAATTGTAATTACTCATGTAATTACTTCTAAAGGCAGTGTAGTATGAGATAAATACAAAGTAGTTATAAATTTTTAAACTCTTAGGCACTATTTAAATGTTTTTACAGCCATGGTATCATGTCATCTACTACCTTTTTATTTTTATCCCTTTGACTATTATGCTAACTGAAGACATTCATTTAAAACTTTCCTTTATAAACCCAGATTCCCCGTCTAATTACATCGAGAAAAGCTAGTTTACTGTGTTCAAAAGCAACCTTGTTCTACACTAATCTGCTTTTAGATACTAAACAAATTGTTTATTTTTTTGAAGCTTTTATTTTTCTCCATTTAAAGATAGGGCATCAGAAAATACTTGACGTCTATCATACATTTCTTCGTAATTTTATAGCCTATTAGGACTTGTTTTTGATTGTCACTTAACTTTAATAAATTGTTAGCTTTTTTCAAAAAATGTATAATTTTTTTAATAATATGTTTTTTTGTTGTTGTTTATTTTTTCTGTAATGTTGTTTATTTTTTCTGTTTGTTATTAATTTTTTGACATTTTTCACAGGTATATGATTATACCATTTTTGTATGAACTGAGAAGTTTGATGGATTGGATATGGACAGATACAAGCATGAATATCAGCAACTGGCTGAAGATGGAAGATGTTTACTACAGTATATTTGTGTTAAAATGCACAAGATGAGCTGAAGCAGACTACCCAACCCCGAGGGGGGCAAAACGAACTGCCCTCATTAAATATGGAGTTGGCTGCTCACTATTATTTTTCATTATACTCATAATCTGGTTCCCACTGTTACTGTTTGCTTTAGAGAACGCAGTCGGACGCACCAACTTGCCAATTAGCGGCACATTTGAACTGTCTATAACGGTTATGAACCCTTATTTAGAACCACGGCGCTGGAAGGGGAGCAAATCAAACCCTTCAATGATCGCCAGTGGAAGGAACTTGAAGGCGCTGTTGCCGAACTAGCTGATCCCTCCACAACAAGTTTCTTAACTGGTTATAGTAGAGAGGATACTGTAGTTGTGGAACTTAGTAATAACTCCACCTCAATCTGGACCATCAGCCCTCCGAGTCAAAATGCTTTGGTGGAATGCCTCTGTCAACTGAAAGTACATTAATAAACGCTATATTATTAAGAAAATAATTCTGCGCTTTAATTTATTCAGGTAATCACATCATTATAGTAGTACTTTTGAAATAAAAAGTATTAAAAATCAATTTGTATCTAAGTGAATAAACCACAATTTTTATTATAATTTCAGATTTAGAATACACACTTTCAACTAACATATTTATTAATAAAAAAAAAAGTTTCTATACTTTCAGATTGCAGAATTTCACTTTCAATTTCAGCTTGCTCTAAGAAGCTTAATTACTATGACCTTTATGCTCCTATTATAATTATTCAACCTGTAATTATAAAGATAATATTTAATTAAAGACATTTAAGATGGTTTTTGATTAATTAAGGTAATATCAAATTTTTAATTTTGATAATTTGTAGTATTTTTAAAAATGTACTTCTGTTGTTACGAATGCTACTTGCCAATACTAGAAAGCTTTACTGCGGTAACACTGAACGAATTTAAGGCAGAGGGGTGCTCTTCTTGTTTTTCAGTGGCGCCATCTATGGCCAAAAATACAACTTTATCCCACATATACTTCATAGCCCGTTTTAGAGGGCAGACTTATACACACCTCTCACACATCCACATATCTTTATTCTGACCTGAACCTGAAAACGATCAATCTTCGATTCAGTACCCCCAAAGGTATTGATTTGACATCAGAACTTGGAAGACTTTGTGACCCCGTCAGATTTAACATGCGCCAGTCAATATTTTATACACAGATAATCTGTAGGATTCAAATGCCCTTCCTTTCAGATATGTGCCAAACGTTTTACCCGTCCCCTAAAAATATATATATATATATAGTTTTTATTTGTAGGTCTGTAAAGTTAAGAATGANGTCGTTTTCAGTGTCTCGACACCAGTCTTCTATTTCTTCTGCTGTATAACATGGCATATTTTCACCCGAAAGATCTACCGATTCACAAACTGCAGTTTTGTTTGTTTTTCTGATAAGAATTTTATTCCAAGATTTAAGATTCCAAGCACTGTAATCACTAATCATTAACCATGAGTGACAACTACCCATCCCCCAATTGTAGAATTTCGGCACTTATCTATTCATAAACACATTCCGCTTTCCAACAATTGTAGATTGTCAAAATGAAGCTCGCATTCTTTGATGATAATTTTCAGTTGAAGAGGGCTAAAGGGGTATGTAGGTTTAACTGTATAACAATACATGTATGTATGGCTACAGTAAGAAAGCTGTTAACAAAAGGTTGTAAATTGAATATGGTCTTCAGATGTAGTGGATATTATTTATTCTTTTAAATTTAAAAAAATTGTCGATAAGTTAAGTATTCTAAAAAAAATAAATAAAACGAATTCGGACATAGTTCGGATAATTGGACGTTCGGATAATCGGCGCTCTACTGTACTTATTAAAAAGAACTTCATTCGCTTCAAAAATATGCTGACGGAAATGAAAGTCTATATATGTTTCAAGCTCCCAAAATTAGGCCAAAACCAGAAGAAATAATAGTGAAGATATTAAAACGTAAAGTTGCAACGTAAGTTGCAACTTAAAACGTAAAGTTGCAAGCGAAACAAAACTAGAAAACCCACAGTAGCTTAGAGAGAAATAAAAATGTTAAAACTAATTGCTACATTACCGTTTTTTTCTTCCGTTTTTGTAATGAAATCGCTAATATCCTCAGCCGTTTTTGTTTTAAAGTTATTTTTAGGCTCGTTAACAAAATTAAATTTATATCTTTCAAAGATCCTCTAAATTTTGAAAATTGGTGAGACATTTACCTCTGATGTTGCCAATGCGACCTTGGCAACATCGGACAAACCAGAGGCGCTTTAAAGTTTAGAACAAAGAAAGAACGCGATATGCCCATTATCAGGAGACGACATATCATAAATTGCCGCACATTGTCGGAATCTTGGCCATAAACTCAATTTCGATGATATCAAAATTATTTCCAGTCCAGTCACAACAGGTAGGTACTTTTGGGTCGGCACAACGGGCTATTGTCGACGGTCTGGGTAACATCCCTGATTATGATTCGAAGACATGCCATCGCAATTTTGATCCTCTGCAGAGAGGGTGGCTCCCCTGCCTTTTTAGCCGGGCGATTGCGTGTGAAATCGAGCACTTTAAGGTAGAACAGTTTAACGAGGACCGATACCGCTCACCCTCGGTACCTACGCAATTTGATCAAAGTGATCACCTACCTGCTTACTGACCGCAGGCATGATGCTCGACTTCGGTGTTCTACTAGAAACCGTGTCTTTACGATGAGTCCACTATGCGACCCCAGTCACAACAAAAAAATACATAAGTATATAAATTATCTCACTAATACGTTTAATTGTACATATATATAAGTTATAAATATTGTAAAAGCATGGGAAAAAATTATAAAAAAATATAGCAGAGATATAATTTTGTCATGAGCTCACACGATTATATCCGGAAAAATTGCTTTCTAATATTGTATTAATATAGCCAAAGCAAAATATATCAATGCAATAGTGTGAGGTGCACCAAAACCGGAAACGTAAATGGAACTTAGTAAGCAAAAAATGTAAAATGAAACAAAAAATGCAAAATAAAGCAATCAAGCAAAAAATAGAATGAAACTCAAAATATAACATATAAAGTCAGTAGCAAATTCAAATTTACTTACACTTATTTTTCAAAAATAATTTAAAATATCGAACCAAGTTTGCCAGATTATAAAATATGAAAATAAAATGATGGTGATGATGAAATCAACTTATGATGTGTTCTTACAGAGATACAGAAGCTCGTTTGATTTTTGACTTGTTAGTTACCTTGGATTGGCCCGAATCTGGATCTGCGCAAGGTAATAATATTCTACAGGATAATGCAAAATTTATAATTCAAATTTTATTCCCAATTGCATATTTATGAAACAAATAAAGTTTTTTTTAATAAGTGATATCTTACCGCTTCAGTTTCTTGGGATTATTAATTTAACAAAATCTGGTTATTTTTTAAGGAAATCCGAAAAAGAAAGGTTCCTAAGTTCTTAAAATCATTTTTATTGCACACAGCGTTCCCTACTCGCTCCGCTAACCTAACCTCCGTTATTACTTCTCAAACCATCATAGTTTATTTTTCTTAAAAGTCGATATTTTTCACAAAACAACAATATTTTGTTAACAAATTAAGTTATTATTGTAGATTTGTGTAGGTACATTTTGTGAGTATGTTAATCTTAACGAAATGGATGATCACCTGAATTTAAAAAATAATGGTCTGTACTTGAAATAGAATGAACCGAAAGAATACAAATTATGTGACTCAATGAAGAAAGAATTAAGGAGATGTAATTTTACTCGTTAAAGAGACTAATAATAATTGCTCAATCGATTTTGATGTCACTTTAAAAATTTGTAAAGAATTGGTGTGACTATGGTTGGAACTAACAAAAATTGAACCTTCTCCAAAATTTAAATTTTTTTTTTATGTACGTTCAAATGCTAAAAGAAGTCGATTTTCGTTTTCAAATGGCTGAAATTTTGTGATAAAATAAAATTTTCCAGATTTTCTTGTTTCTAACCATAGCCACACTCATATATAGTTGTCAATTTTTGGTCTTATCAGTTTCAGATTATACAGTAAGGAGATCGAGCTACGCCTGTCCACTGATGTTTGGCGTGCACTACCATCTTCGCCATCATTTTTAGATGCTAATTTTTATTTACTTCGGGCTAGGAAAAGTTTAAAATGTAACTGAAAAATGAAAAAATAAGACCAAGTGATCATTAATACCTTATCCTTGTATTCCACCGAGAAAAAAAAAAGAGGGTGAAAATGAGACTTAAATCAGACCTCTTGAATTAGGAAAAGAATTGAGAAAAAGTTCTCGAAGAAGCATTTAAAATTGAAATAACTTCGAACAAATTGGAATTCAAAGAAGAAAAAAAAATTCACTGTAAAACTCTAAACTCTAGTAAAACTCTAGTAAAAACTCTAAGTAAAAATGGCTCCTTTAATATGTTAAAGTTCAATTCTTTTTTTTCCTTCTTTTTTTTTCTTTCGTTTTTCAGCGGGAGACAGATCTACGTAACATATTTTTTACTACAAATTTAGCAGATAATAGTTCTTGAACTAGTTAACGATTAATAACTTTTTGTTTGTTTCGTTACCATCTGTCCATTTTTCTACATTTCTCCACAATTTCAAATTTTTAAGTCGTATCGAGTTTTTGCGCAGCAAATAAGGAAAAAAAAAAGAAATAGCGGGGAAAAAATCGAACAAATCAAATTTTAAAAAAATCGGAGTTAAGTTTATAAACAAATACTATAGTCCTTCCAGCACGTCAAATTTCAAATCTGTAGTTGCATTTCTGCGGTCTATAGAGCCCGCGTGATATTTTTAGCTACAAGTTTAACCAATAGTCGAAAGTTAACATTTTTTATTCCATCCTACTAACTGTGCCTTTTTCACATCGCTTTATATAATTTTAAGTGAAATAGTTTTTAGGCAGCGAAACAAAATGTAACGTTAAGTTAAACAACCAAAATTGCTTCGGTGGCGAAGGTTACTATTCTGTAATATAGAAAGATACATTATTTGCTACTTAAATCTTCTAATATTTTTATCATACGAAGATCACTCGTTTAAATAAAACACTGGAACTTTTCATGTATACGTATGTTATTTTTCTCATGTATTTGTTTGTTCTTTCTCTTTTAAAAAAAATTTAGCCAAAATATTTTACAGCTATTAATTCATATTTTTAAAATGAAAATCAGTAAATTCATTAACCCTTTATCACACATTTTATAATTAAAATTAGTTGAGACAAATATAAATTTTTCTTGTTTAGATTGTGTATTTAAAATCAAGCTTTTTTATGCGTATTTATATCTTTCCAATCCAGAACATAATCCATTTGAGCACAACTAGCAAAGAGAAAACATTTCTAATATGGCCAACCCTATCAATTAGAAATGACATTCCCATCTGATTCCATATCATTACTATCCATTACCGTTTGTGGGCTGGGCTAAAATGGTGTCACCCCGAATACATAAAAAGAAAATAAGCCTTTTGTTACGTAGGCAAGAATAATAACACATCATTTCATTTCCTAATGTTGTATAAACACCATAACGAAATGCGTTCTGGGCAGAACATTTTTACTAGAAGCACGCAAAAATGGCATCAAGAAGTAAACGATGTAATTTGATGTTTTGTACAATTTTCTCACCATGGTTTGGTTTGGAAAAAGAGTAATTTGGAATTCTCCAGGTTAAAAATACGTCTTAATTTTAACTTTGATCTACGTCTTGGAATGTTTGTATTGCCGAAGACAGTGCTGATGAATATTCACTAGAAAATATTCCAAATCTCCATTTTTGTTTGAAATCGTTTTCAAAATTGAAACAGTTTGATAAACAGTTGTTATATAAATTAAGCAGTTAAAAAGAATAGTACTTCATCAAGAATTTATCTAGTATTAAACTAGAAATTTTATTCATAGTTTTTTTTAAAGCATTTTGCGATTGAATGATTATATTAAGAGACAATTGAATATTTAGATTCCATTTTGAGGTTATTAAATAGCCCTGATATTTTATGCAAAAGAATTAAAATCGAATTTATTTAAGAATACCAGTGCTTAGAATTATTACAGAATAATTGAAACTCGGAATTTAACTAAACGAAACTCAACTTGATCTATATTTATTAAAGAAAAAATGTACAACTCTCCTTTAAAAAGCATTTTGAATATTTAACTTCTTTTAAAACCAATTACGAATTTTTTCCGTCCTAAATTAGTTAAACGTTTATTAACTAAGTTAGTTAAAACACGTTTTAATAATGGTATTTTACAGAAGTTTCAACTTTCTCTGTCCAATGTTTGTTTTTGTTTTTTGTGGTGTGGTAGCCAAAAACGATTTATTTAGGTTGATTGATCGAGATTTGATTTGTGATTCGAAATCGGTGATTCAGTCTTTTACAGCCTATTCCATATCTAACTGCGCGACTGCCTGTAAATTGAAGAAATCTTGTGGAATGTTTGCTGTTAGTCATGTTTATGACAATTCATCTTTGAATGAAGATAAACCTAAGAAGAATGTGAAAATGACTTGTGCTCTTTGTAAATCTTCTAATTTAACTTCAGTTGTTGAAAAGAAAGGATGGTCTATGTACATGGTAAGCAAATGTAGAAAGAATTCTGAAACTTAACTTACTGAGCAATTTTGATATAACTAATATCAATATATATATATAAAGGACTATAAATAATTCCAGTAATAATTATTTTGGCATAACATATGTGATTATTTCTTATTCCATTAAATTTTAAAATTTACAATTTGTTCTAGTACAATGTATTATAATTATACATTATGTACAATGTACAATGTATATTATGTACAATGTATTGTTACAGTACAATTCGTACAGTTGCAATACAATCAATCGCCGTTAATCTGCATAATTACATAAATATACACTAACAATTCAAATGTATATACAATTTCAAATTATTAAATAATAAGCTATCTTAAAATGTTTTAAAAATTTAAACATCAACAGTAATGCTTTTAATTAAATCATTAATAGACTCATACTATACATCTGAGACTTATAATTCATAAAGTTTAAAAAAAAAAGGAAAAATATTTTGGTGTTTGTATTAAATTCATGACATTAAATTCATAAAGTAACAATAATTTCCTTGTACATTTTTTTACTAACGGATTTAACAGTTAAAAATATACAATGTAATTGGTGTAAGGAAATGCTAGAAAACTATTAAAAGCTATGGAATTGACAAATTTTTTTTTAATTATTTATTTAAAAAAAAACTTAGAAAATTAATTGGAAAAATTTAAAAAGTGGAAAACCTGTTTCAAAAAAGTATTCTACTGTATATTGAATATTCAGGGACTTTATGATATTCTATATAAAATAGATCTGAAAATGTAGCTTATTATAAAAATAATAAAATACATTTAAAAGTGCATGGTTTTGATCATAAATAAATATGAAAAAGGTCAATCATTTTTATGATGAAACGTTTTATTCGATATTATTGCGCACTATTTTTATCAGTAACGATTTTTTAATCAGAAACTGAAAAATAAACAACTACCCTGAAATTTTTGCTATTAATTAATATAATTTTTTAGTAGCTTTTCACTTTTTTTTTCTATTTTTAAATTTTTAATCAATTTTTGGTATGTAAGCTTCCAAATTATTTAGAAAATATTTCACTTCTCTTTGAAAAAAAATTCTAAACAGTAAGGAAATGTTCTATGTACGTTCCCGATGACAAAATTACGAAAAAAATAAAGATCTGTTTATTTGCTTGATCAAACTAAGTGCTTTTTGATTAGTATATTAAATATTGTACAGTGAACAATAAACCGAAATCAAAATAAAGGAAATTTAAAGAAATGAACTGCTTACTGTTGAATAATAGTGCTAGAAAAATGGTGATTTTAATTTCGAATTTATTAAAAAGTAAGAACAATTTTAAAGGATCAATAGCATAAGTTGCAAAATAAAATCGAATTTTATATTTATCTTTCGCCAATGTATGAATTTGATTTCGATACAAAATAAGAAAAAAATGTGAAGAACATGTGAGTGTGAATCAGATATCAACGTATTTAATTTTTTCGAAAATATTTCGAAAAGTACCAGAAAAAGATTAATTTTCAGTTATTAAGTGATTACGCGTGATCTATAGTCCTGTTCCTTTAATACGAGGAACATCATAAACGTAAGGAGTAAACGTTATACTCTTTTTTAGTAACTCAAGGTACCTGAAAACTTACTTTTTTCGGGTCTATCTTCCATTTTAAACAGTTTAACTAAATTAGTCCACTCCAGATGTTATAACCAAAGTAACATAAAAAGAATAGCCGTGCGGGCACTGAGCCGTTGGTACCAGTCTCTGTAAAATGAAGGCGGTCATTGCGCTATTCTGCCATCATCATGGTGTTAGTCATGAATTTGTGGTGAACCTAACCTACGCAACCTTCTTGGCCAACAATGGGCTATAACAGAAATATTTCCTTTTTTTAATTTCAAAAACAAGACAAATAATTTCCTGGAAAAAGATTAAAGAAGAAATTATAAAAGCCAAGTTTGAATTAAAGTGTATTACTTTTAAATGTAACATAATTAATAACATATATATTTTTAGAATAAATAACCATTCCTCTTTTAGAAATGGCTACGAGAAATAAAATTCCATATTTTGGACACTGACAACAAGCCATCAGCTCCTGATATATCCCCATTGGTCACTTGGAACATAGATTGCAATAGTCCAGAAATAACCACGAAAAGAAATGGCGTCATCATTGGAATATGATATAATTTAATTTAATTGATCCCATTTCAAGTTTTTACGCTTAATAATATAAAAAAAAAAAAGATTTGAATATATTAAAAAATCACTATTCGACTGTTTATTATGAAAAATTTTCTTTTTATGGCAAGGGATGATATATTTAAGGTATTGTATTTGTTTTACACCAAGCCTTATAATTTTAGTAGGTGTTTAATTAATAATATTGTCATTTGCATGATATGGATAAAACGACATAGTTCAATATGAATCTAAAAACGACGCAGTCTAAAAACATAATAAATGTTATAGTGGTTACAAATAAAAGAATGAAAAAGTGAAAAAATGAAAGGAGTGGTTCAATAAATATCTTCATACGAGGAAAATGATATAAACGATATCGTTCAATGTGAATGTAAAAGCATAAGTGCAAAAGCGAATGAATAAAGGGATGGATGAGTGATAGAAATTAAGTGTATAAATGGAGTTGGTAAACGAATTTTTACATACCCGGAATATGAGGTAAACGATAACTTCCATCTGCATAATAGTGATAGAATAATTGAATGAGGGGCATATGAATGAATGAGTGGATAAATGAATGAGTCAAATTGAATGAATGGGGAAGAAAGGAAGAGAATAATAAGTGAATAAGCAAATCATCAAATCAAATCGAAGAATCAGTTTGTAAATGAACAGTAACGATAGGTAAACGATAACTTCCATTTGCATAATAGTGATAGAATAATTGAATGAGAGACAAGTGAATGAATGAGTGGATAAATGAATGAGTCAAAGTGATTGAATGGGGAAGAAAGGAAGAGAATAATAAGTGAATAAACAAATCATCAAATCAAATTGAAGAATCAGTTTGTAAATGAATAACAAATTTATAAACTTTTAATTTGTAGTATAGCAGTAAATTTTTACTGGGAAATTTTCTGAATTTGTATCTTTTCTGTTAGGGATGATAAAGATGAATTTAAGGATCTTGACAAAGTGAAATGTTTCAACTGGGATGCTTCAGATCTCTTCAACGATAAACCATCGCGTTTGCTTTACATTTATTTAGAGGATTACAGACAATGCCCCAAAGACTATGTACTAACAGGTAAGAAATCATTTTTAAACGCTTCCACAATTTAAAGTTCTGGAATTTGATAGTATTTCTTTTTTAGGTGGCACTGTATCTCTGCTGTATAAAAAACAAATTGCTGAATTACAGGAAGAAAAATGCTGTAAAAAATGAATAAATAAAAAAATCAAAGCTAGTGTTATTTACTTCAAAAGTAGCACATTTCTTTTATATGATGAAAAAGAAATTCCTTTAATTCTCTTGATTAAAATTTACTTAATTCGAAGGAGCATCTCTTGTGTTTCGAACTAGCATATTCCAGTAAATGTACGATGCCAATCCCTATCCGTTTTTCTCCTAAGTCACAAGTACAATTTTTGCGTTATTTTCCTCTAACATATTTATAATTCTTGTGGAATTTTCCACAAACAAATGCACAACTTTTATCAAATATTCTGCTAACAGTTGTACAATTTTTGTCAAATTTTTCCAGCAGCGCATGTACACACTGTCAGAAATTTCTGGGCAAAAATGGTTAAATAGCAATTTTAATTGTTATTTAATTGTTTTTTTGCTATATTCAATCAAAACAGGTAAATAACCATAAAAAAAATGATATTCAAACTCTTAAGAATAAAACAAACGTTTACTGATAATTTTTTTCCTTCCTAATATGGTTAAACGATCAGAATTCTATCCGCGCCAAACTAGGCCCACCTTTTCATGCAATTTTGTTATGTGCAGCTTGCCACATACTGTAACTGAGAAGGGTAATTGGTTAATCTCATGACTGATTAAACAGGGATTCGAATCCCAGCGTTGATATTATAATATTTCTTCAGTACATGAAAAGATTCCTGTGTTCCGCACTCTTCAGCTGGTGATTCTGAACTATAAAAATACGAAACTATCATTCACGCACAAATGACGCTGTACTCACAGAGCTCTAATGTCCGTTTAAGTTTCATTTTTATGGTTTTGAAACTATTTTAGTTGTAAATGTTTACAAAACCATATAGTTTTGTATTCACAGCTTTTTAACCGTACCAGTTGTAAACGATTACTAAGTTGTAAAACTAAAAAAATGTTCCTAACCATGAACTTTACTTTTAATCGAATGGTCAGACTACTTCCGGCTATTTTACCGTAATTTCAGAATGAAAATTCGAATAGTGCAATTTTCTTGGAATTTTCTTTTAACCCATAGATGAGTTTTGTCGAATTTTGTGAATATTCCTCTGAATGTTCTCTTGTGTGAAATATATTTGTTGTTGAAATAATGTAATTATATGACTGAGATTCATTATCGATTAAGTGCGCATAGTGCAATCAATATTTTTGGAATATTAAAATAAATATTAATTGGAATTTCTCCCCCAGCTATCACTGCAAGTAATGCTGCATTTCGGAACGTGGACAACGGAAAATGTACTCCACTCAGAGAGGGTTACCATATAGATTACGAGCACTGTGTGACAGTTCAATCTGAAGGAAGAGACGGAGCTATGATAAAATATGGTTATATTCAAATTGTGTAAAAAATTTGCTTTACAATCAATAATGGCTATTCATTAAAATATTTTACCTTCTGATAAAAAAATTTAGTGATAACACATTGACTTTTTTTTTTTGTATTTCTCAGGAGTGAAAAAATAGAACATTTCTTGTAGTATTTCTGAATTGATTGTAATTACTCATTCTGAAGGCAGTGTAGTATGAGAAAAATACAAAGTAGTTATATATTTTTAAACTCTTAGTCACTATTAGAATGTTTTTACAGCCATGGTATCATGTCATCTACTAACTTTTTATTTTTATTCCTTTGACTATTATGCTAACTGAAGACATTCATTTAAAACTTTCCTTTATAAACCCAGATTTCTGACCTGATTACATCGAGAAAAGCCAGTTTACTGTGTTCAAAAGCAACCTTGTTCTACTCTATGATTTTAGATACTAAATAAATTGTTTATCTTTTGAAGTTTTTTTTCTTCTACATTTAAAGATAGGGCATCAGAAAATACATGACGTCTATCATATATTTTTCGTATATTTATTAGAACTTGTTCTTGATTGTCACTTAACTTTAATAAATTGTTATCTTTTTTTTCATAAATTTATAATCTCTTTTTAATAAGATGCTTTTTTGTTGTTGCTTTTCCTATAATGTTTGTCATTAATTTTTTAAAAAACTTTCACAGGTACATAATTATACCACTTTTGTCTGAACTGAGAAGTTTGATGGATTGGATATGGACAGATACAAGCATGAATATCCGCAACTGGCTAAAGATGAAAGATGTTTACGCCAGTATATTTGTGTTAAAATGCACAAGACAAGCTGAAGCTGACTACCCAACTCCGAGGGGAGCAAAACGGACTGCTCTCATTAAGTATGGAGTTGGCTGCTCACTGTTATTTTTCATTATACTCATAATCTGGTTCCCACTGTTACTGTTTGCTTTGGGGAACACAGTCGGAAGCACCAACTTGCCAATAAGCGGCACATTTGAACTGTCTATAACGGGTTACGAACCCTTATTTAGAACCACAGCTTTGAAAGGGGAACAGATCAAACCCTTCAATGATCGCCAGTGGAAGGAACTTGAAGGCGCTGTTGCCGAACTGGCTGATCCCTCCACAACAAGTTTCTTAACTGGTTATAGTAGAGAGGATGCTGTAGTTGTGGAACTTAGTAATAACTCCACCTCAATCTGGACCATCAGCCCTCCGAGTCAAAATGCTTTGGTGGAAGAGCTGCAGAAAGTGAATTCCACTGTGAAAATGACTCTTTCGTGGTCTTTTATGAGGAAGAAAGAGAATCATGGGACAAATCCCGAAGTAAAAGATCAAAAAGAACTTGTTTTGACTGATCCTCAAAAGAAAAATCTCGCTGCAGCACTCAGTGTCAATGCCACAACAATTCCTGGCTCCATTCCTAAGGCTGTCACTTTAACTGAGTTCTTCCCGAACTTTGTGAAAATTCCAAGCTCGGGCAGTGCTATAGTGGTTGATAAGTTTTATAAAAAGAAAAGTGAGTTATGTTTTGTAAATTCATATGAATTCTTGTCGAGTTTTGGTTTTAGTGCATTCATACTGATTATTCAGGCATCAAAATTTTTTGGATTGAAAGTGTTTTAATGTCATATGGTTTTAAATTTACAATTAATCGTCTAGTCCTTTTTCTTTGATCATTAATATTTTTTTTCTCAAAAATCTTATTTGAGTGAAAATCAAATTCCATCAATATTATTCCTTTAACTGCTAGTACATTAATATAAATATTTCAGACCATTTAAAATTATACATTAAGTTATAGTGATTGATTATTATTAATTGATTATGGTTAATAGCTTTATGTTGCTGTAATCCTCTAATCTAAATAAGGACCCACAGTGGACTGATAGTTCAGACACTGTTCCTAGCAGATCACCGAAAGTGTGCGGTTTGGGGACTACTTGGATCGGTCAGCGTAGGGACTGAGGGTGTGAGGTAGTGGTCCTCATTAAACTGTTCTACCTTAAAGTGCTCAACTTCGCGTATAGATCGTCGGGCTACTGAAGTGGAAGTGCCATCCCCTCTGCAAAGCATCAAAATTTTGATGACATGTCTTCGGATCATCCTCATGGATGTTTCCCAGACCATCACCGGTGCCCATTGTGCAGCTCTAGTGCTGCATAAATGAACTACAACTAATCTAAATAAGTGACCAAGATACCTTATTCAGTTTGACGTGATGACTCTTACTCTGTCCGGTTGTTTATATTTATTATTAATATTACATCGATTATACAAAATCAAAATTTTGTCACCTCCAAAAGTCAGTCTGAACTTATATTCGACGATCAACATCGAGACCTAATAATGTCTCCAAATAGAGAAATTTTACTGTAAGTTCATAATAATTTGTTTTATTTATATTTTTCATGTCTTGCATTTATTTCTGAACTGAATCATTTCTTTAAACCCAAATGCTCTATAGGCATTTTTATTTTATGCCTTTATAATATTATGTTTTTCTCTTTATAGCTGATAGAAGCAAACGATTTTTTGGTCCCACAGAGTTTCGAGGTTTGAATTTATCCATGTGGACCGGTGATATGCTGAATACATCTGAGTCATTAAGCACTACCATCTGACATTACATAGAATGGTGGGAAGTTCGAGATGTCTGTGATATCCCTCCTTACTCAATAAGTGGAATTAATAACTGCGATTCTTTGTGATTAGTTGCCTTTAGTGACAAAGCCTTCCCTACTGAATTATACATTATTTCTGGATATGGGTATGATTGTTATTTCTTATAATTGTTTTGTTACTCGAATTAAGTTGACATCAATTAATAACTTTATAGTTATTAGTTTTAAAAGTAAGCTCAACAAAAGATAATATTTCTGTATAATCTGTTTTCTTACCTAATAACTTCAGAGAAAACAGAAGAATTTGTTAAAGTAGAAAGTAAACAGATCTGCAGGGCAGTATTTGCATGCAGACTGTTTGAGTGTTAAATAATGTATGGTTAGTATTTGGTAGTTTCTACTTATTGTCCTTAATTACCATTTTCCTTATGATTTCAGGATTGTGGGCCTCTACACCACTTTTGCTCTTGTTGTATCCCGTGTTGTGAGGGGATTTGTGGCAGGCACTTCCTCCAATATCATGTTTGATGACATGCCTTACGTTGACAGAGTGTTACAGCTTTGCATGAATATTTATCTGGTGCGAGAAAGTGGCGAATTCACTCTTGAGGAAGATCTGTTTGCTAAGCTGATATTCCTGTACAGGTCTCCTGAAATGCTTATAAAATGGACCAGACCACCAGAACTTGAGGTTGAAGCTGGTGAGGAAATGCCGAGATTACCAGGAATCAGGCCTTGAAGGTAAAAATTTACCCCTTCACTGTAAATCCCAAGATTTCCATGGGCAATTTAGAGGTAGCAAATCTTACGTGACCTGCAACCCACTCTATTCTTGTTTTTGATTTCATTTTGGCTCTTCTTTAATATTTATATGTTTAGCTCCTTAATGATTGGTAGATTTTCAAGAAAACGGTCGTAAAAATGTCTATTTTTCTAGCTTTTGCATTTGATTAGTGCTGACATCTACTTTAAAAGAAACTATCTACAATTGCCTTAAAAATATCCTGGTACTGCCATCTAGTGTGTAAAATGAGAAATAAAATGTTTTCGGGGAAAAGAAATGAATTAATTTTATTCTTACTGGCGCGTTACTACTGAAGACTTCAGCACGTCAATATCATGGGAGCGAGAAATAGAGGACGAAACCTCACCCTGTCAATTTCATGGGAGCGAGAAGAAAAAGGTTAATTAAACCTGGGTTCGACAGATGGCATTAGTTGTCCATATAGAAGCATGTTTTGCAGCATTTTGTACATTCTTTTCAAAGCTAAACATGTCTGGTAGGAAGTATTTTGCGAATTATATAACTTACATTCCTGACAATATTTCTGACACTAATAGCAGTTCTGACTCTGATTTCCAGAATATTAAAGATAGTTATAGCGAAACTGATTGCTCAGCAGATAGTGATGAATCTGAAGATCCATTTCAAAACCTTTTATCTTTGCATTTCATAAAACAAATTTTAATTTAACAAAAATTAACTTTCAAAATTTTGTATTTATCTAGATATTTTTTAATTTTCATACAACCTTTTTTAATTATCTAATTCTATATTGAAAAAGAAACTCTTTTATAAATTTTTTGTATATTTTAATTTGGGATGTACCGGGTTCCCTACTACACTATATTTATCTAGTTATTACCCAAATCCAGTGAAAAAATTCTCACTGCTGGTATGGGTACCCAGACCTAGTTTTAAACCTCAAAACTCAGTTTTGAGTGGTCGAAATCTGGCTGTTTTGCTGGGTATCCAAAGCCGGGTGACACTCATTTATGTTCGACACAACCATATTCAGATTTAGAATAAGCATGTTTACTACTCGTTAGGTCAATAAATTCTATTTCCAACCAGTCTGGTTAAAGTTCTCTTATCATTAGATTAACTATGGGAGGTTTTCGTAATTATTTTCACTGCGTAATGCAAATACATGTTAATTTCACAGAGAATGTTTTAATGAAAGTAAATTTTTCCCATTGTTTGTTGCTTAATCTAGGAGTTACTTAATCGTTTGGAGCTTCAAAATTATGTGGATACGGATATTGAATCTGCTATATAAATCTTCTCTTCAACATTGGTTATAAGATAACATTTCTCACTAAACATCAAAAATTTAAAATGATTGAATTAAAGTAGCTCTCATTGCTTTCAAATGATATTAATTGTTAAATGATGTTTAAAAACTAAATCCTGATAGTCAAAACATTTTTCATTTAATATACGATCATTTTGTGAAAATATATGTAAAACATCCTTTTCTTAACTGAAAGTACATTAATAAACGCAATTGAAAATTTAATTAAATCGATGCAAAATTGCAGATTCAAAATTTAACTATAAAGTCTACTTTTAGTAGATGTCTTCAGCTAAAAATAAAAGTTTTAAGTTAATTATTCTATATCTAAACAGCATTGCAAAATTCTTTTAGAATTTTTTTAAAAATTCAAATATGAAAGCATGTTTTTATTTATACAGGCTTAAGAATTATATCTTCTAAAATATTTGTTATGTGTACGATTTTTTTCTTGTTTTGTATAAATGTTATAATACCTAGTCAAGTAACTAATAAAACTTTTGCCGTGTACCCCTAATTGGCCGAGTAAAATATTAATTTTTTAACGAAATCCCAGACCTCATACATCTTTAGTTTTAATTTGTAAATATATGTGAAAAAAATTAGTAATAAAAAATTTGGAATTTTTGAACATATTTAAAAAAAAATGACTCCTCGAGAGGATTAATGTATTTTGAAATTTTAGTTATCTGCAAAAGAACAATTATTTGACTTCAGACCCTAAATATAAAGTATTCAATTAAAGTTATTGATTTTTTAATTATATTACTAGTGTTTTTCTTAACTTTCTGCAAAATAGACTATTACTTTTCATTTATTTATTTTTTTAATCTTCGTTAACCAAATTATTTAAGAACTAACACATAGCTTACTTGCAACGAATTTGTTTTATTTGGCTGCATAGAAAAAAATTTGCCTATTATAATCATTAAGAAAATAATTCTGCACTTTAATTTATTCAGATAATCACATCATTATAGTAGTACTTTTAAAATAAAAAAGATTAAAAATCAATATGTATCTAAGTGAATAAACCACAATTTTTATTATAATTTCAGAATTAGAATACACACTTTCAACTAACATATTTATTAATGAAAAAAAAAAGTTTCTATACTTTCAGATTGCAGCATTTCACTTTCAATTTCACCATGCTCTAAGAAACTTAATTACTATGATCTTTATGCTCCTATTGTAATTATTCAACCTTTAATTTCAAAGATAATATTTAATTAAAGACATTTAAGATTGTTTTTGATTAATTAAGGTAATTTTAAATTTTTAATTTTGATAATTTATAGTATTTTTAAAAATATACTCCTGTTGTTACGAATGCTACTTGCCTATACTAGAAAGCCTTACTGCGGTAACACCAAGCGAATTTAAGGCAGAGGGGTGCTCTTCTTGTTTTTCAGAGGCGCCATCTATAACCAAGAATACAACTTTATCCCACATATACATCATAGCCTGCTTTAGAGGGCGGACTTATACACACCTCTCACACATCGTTATTCTGACCGGAACCTGAAAACGATCAATCTTCGATTCAGTACCCCCAAAGGTATTGAATTGCCATGAGAACTTGTAAGACTTTGTGACCCAAACAGATTTAACGTGCACCAGTCAATATTTTATACATAGATTATCTGTAGGATTCAAATGCCCTACCTTTCAGACATGTGCCAAACGTTTTACTCTGCCCCTGAAAAAAAAAATATATAATTTTTATTTGTAAGTCTGTAAAGTTATAAAGAATGATTGTTTTATTTTCTAAACATGACATTATATCAAAGTAAAAATTTTTTTTGATTTTTTAAAGCTATAATTTATCAATACAAATATGATGGCAGAAATATTTGTTTGGTCTTATTTGTATCCTTTTCTTTTTAAGTAAAACAATCAATATTCAGTCATAAAAACTAATAATGATATTTTTATATATTTTTAGATGAACCTTGAAGGTCTAGAATTGATTTAAACTCTATTTATCAAGAACAGTTTCCATTGTTGAATTGAAATTTCGGTTTCAAGTGATTGGAAATCTAGTCAAAAGAAACCTATTCAAATCTGTGATCATCAATTGTTGAAGATATAGACGGAGAGAATAATTCTTTTCAAACTTTATATAAAACACATTCATCATCATTTGTATTATTTGAATTATATTTCACCCTTGAGCTATGCTTTGAATAATTAAATCAGCATCTACATATTTGCTCTAGGTAACTTACATATTGCTGATATGTCATTCAGAAGTATGATGTAAATAATCAATTAATTATTTAATTTAATTAGGTTGGTATTGAGTGTAAGTCAAAGTATTTATTAATAACTATTGTTTAAATTAAGGATTATTTAATTTAAAAAAATTTCCCGTCTAGTTATTGTAATTAATAAAATTGCATTTACAAATATTGGAATTTGATTTTAAGGTAATTGTTTTTATTTGTGTAATTCTGCTGTTTTATGGGAATTTTTATATCTGGATTAAAAAGTGAATTGTTTTATCTATATTAAACTTTTTTTATTAAGAATTGATCATAATTATTTAATTTATTCTTTGATATTTGGAGTTGGAGCAAAAATTTTTGAGTTTTCTGCAATTATCTTCAATCAAATAATTTTACATCAGGTTTTTTGTTAAAGTAACAGTGTAGGAAATTTTGTTGGGTAAATATATTATTTTATTGAAGCGTGTGTATTGTAATCTGTCGCCAGTGTTTTATGACTTTTGAGTGCATGACTTGCATAGATGTGTTTTTGTTGAATTAATTAGCTTATATTAGGCAGCGTTCAAAAGTAAATAAATGTGTTTTGTATCATTTCAAATTTACTTCGTTGTTTCTGCATTAACCATATTACATTTTGAAATTTTAATATGAAAATCAAAATGTACAAATGTAATTACAATGATTTATTTAAGAGAATAATTGATTTGAATCTTGGATTAAAAATGCTGACATTTAAATTTTTTTTTTAATTTGTGCACATTCCCAGTATTTTAATTTAGTTTAGATTTCCTGCCTGTACAGAATTATTTACTAAACTTATAAATATTTTGCTGTAAAATGCAAATTTGTTTGTAGACAACTTATTTTTAAAGTTTTTTACTCTGAATTTCATAATAAATTTAGATTTTTAAAAATATGATTCTTTCATTTGATCTTGATTTTAGTGTTAAAGACAATTTTATTTGATTTTCTAACCTACATTGAACAGCTGGATCATTTTTTTGGGTTTATGACTACCAACCAGTATCTCTTGTGTCCTATGTCATGTGAATGCTTTAAAGTATAGAATGTTTCTTCGTTTATATTTTAAATTACCGTAAAACGGGGCGAGTCTACCCATTTTTTCAGTTTGTCAACTTTCAAGTGGTCAAACTTTTGTAAATATTAAAGAAAAAAGGCTTTTAATAGGTGTTTCGGAATCGCTATTTATCCCTCTTTAAAGCTGTGAAATCGATTTCAGAAAATATTAACAGTTACGCTGTTACTGTATATTTTTATAGAACTGCTGACAAATCTCTCGTATGGGGCGAGTCTACCCATTCTACTAAAATGGATGTTAACATTGTAAATAATCAAATTCTACAATTAAATTGTTATTTTAGTTACTATATAGGATATTTATGAAGTAAAATTCATAACTTTATTATATATTCCATTTTTTTATTCATAAAATAACACAAATTGAGTATTTGATCGATTATCACATTTTGACTACAGTTTTGTTTTTATAATCATTAACATTATAAAATAACATTTTTTTCTGATTATTGTTGATAAAAATAAATTAAAATTAATATAAATTTACAATTAAATAATTAATAAATAATAATAATTAAAGATTATTAACAAAATCAAAATTCAAACATTGGGAATCATGAAAAATCCTTTTCCCATTCTTTTGGGAGGTAATAATAATTTATAAATAATAATTTATTTAACTTGTATTAAATAAAAAAAGTTAATTTTGTAATATAAAAATTGAAAAAATAGGTAAAATAAGCATATTTTATATTTACATTTATATTTAACCTATAAATTTTCTTATTAATGATAAATTTATCAGTGCAGAATTAAAATAATATACTCAAATTCAATTAAAATGACTTAATTTTAATATAAACAAAGTTCTAAATTATATTATTATGCTTTATTAAAACTAAATACGAATGTGTTGACTCGCCCCGCGAATTCTGGCTTTTTGTTTACAACAGCAAAACTTACATTCTTTTTGGTTTTTTTCATATAAAATTAATGTAATCTTAGTCTTAGATAAGTTCATCACTTAACCAAAGTGAAAATAGTAATTATAATTATATACTTGCGGAGCACCAACTAAAAGTTTGCTGATTTTCAATACAAATCTCTCAAAAGACGTTTGAACAGGTCGGTTAAAAAGACACCAAATAAATAAAAACGGATCAAACTACTACAGCGCCATCTTCCTTAGAGTCTGAACTAAGTCCTCCGTCGGTTAAAAAAATTTTATTTGCAATTTAAAATTGTGAAAATTAAATAAAACTAAAATAGGTAGACTCGCCCCTGGATGGGTAAACTCGCCCCGGTTTACGGTAGATAAATTTTAAAACTAATCGTAGTTAGTGATCAGACCACTTTTTGTGGCTCCTCACAGCATCTGGTTACTATCACTGCGTCTAGTCACTCCTTAGCAATTGAAAGCCAATAAATGTTTTACAAATCTACTTGAATATATCTTAAGTCATTGAAGTGTTGTTAATGTTTACATAATCTAGTGTTGCAACCATATTTTTAATATCTATGTTACTTCAAAAGTATTATAGTTTTTTTTTTTTTTTCAATTTTTATATTTCATTCGAGTAAAAAAATAAAGAAAACTTATTTTCAGTGAGCATGTAAGTTTCTAATTAAAATTCAGTTCATATTTTCACTTAATAAATTTCTGTCTAATTATTGAAAGTCAAAATTTTTTTATTTCATCCTACCTCCAGTATATTTTCTACTCTCCTTAATTTTCAGTTTCTAAGTCTTATTTCTTTACGCATCAAAAATATGAAACAAAACATTATTTGATGTAAGAATATTTTGAATATATCTCAAAGTTGATTTGAACACTCAAAACTCTGTTGGTGGTGTTTTTGTCGGTTATGATTTTTCTTTTTAATATAGATAGATAATATCGTAAAGTTTTACATTATTTGCATAAGTTATGGGAGACAAACCACTCCAGCCAAAATAGTGAGAAAAAAAAGATGTGCCATTACTACATTGCTTACAGCTGAACTTCTTCATTTGAAAAAACAAGTAAATTTGTTGAATACTTATAGATGTATTAGATTAGAAGAATTGAATACTTTTAGATGTTTATTTTCAGAAGAGTGTATTATCTGAAAATTCTAAAATAATTTCTAGTTTTTGTAATGAAAGTAAATTATGAACGTTTACTTTCTGTATGTATCACTAGACCAGTGTTTCTTAACCTTTTTCGTATAATGGACCCCTTTTTAAAAATTTTAAGAAGTCACGGACCACTCCCCTGCGAAAAAAATAATTGTAAAAAACATCAATTATTAGAAAACATTTAATTTTATTATTTTAGTAGCATGCAAAAATTTTAAAATTAAAATTCTTAATATGAAGGTTGTTACTGCTTTTCCTTAAATAATAAATTGAATTGAGGGATGGTTTTCGACAAAGCAAGGCACATATCATGTTCAACATTCAATCGATTTCGATTTTCTGTTTCTATTGTCACAAGTGTGGATAATCCCGCTTAGAAATATCGAATAATATTAAATCAAATAATGATTAAAAACTATTTGACATGGATATTAGAGGGCTGTGTGCAATCCGCGCTGAATTTGTGGTATCTCGATCACAGGGTGGCTTACCGCTCACAAATCACCTAGTTTCAAATATGTATGTATTTTCACCTTTTAGAAAAAGAAGATCAATGCTATTTAAATATTATTGATCCAAACGTTTTAAAAATTAGGAGTATTCTGCGGACCCCCAAAATATGACCCATGGACCCCTAAGGGGTCCATGAACCATGGGTTAAGAAACCCTGCACTAGACAGTGGCACCAGTTACTGTTAATATCAAATGTTAGGTGCATAATTTTGTTTAACTCATTGCTATTGAAGATATTGATCTAAACTATAAAATTTTCCTTTTTTTATAATGTAGTCTCCCCCTCCTACGAAAAAGTTTATTTTAATGACTCATGTCATGCATGAGTAACATAAAAAGCGAGTTTTATATATTTTATTCTTGAAAAGATAAGTGAAAAACTTTCATCATTATCACTTGATATCATTAAGAGAAGGCGAGGTCCTTTTAAATTTTATATAAGTTTTTAAAGAAGTGGTGCTTCGTTTTTTTTTCTCCACTTTGATTTGCGCTTAAAATTGTCTATTAATATCCTTGACAAAAAGAAAATATTGTAAAATTTTTCATACTTTTAAAAAAACTATCTTTCCTGCGGACTACAAATGACAAACAACGAATAAAATTGCTCCATACAAATGAAGCAATTATTATACAGGCATAATAATATTAGTAGCTAATTAAATAGGTTATAATTGTACGTGAAGTCCATTATAGGGTATATTTATTCACTTTTCACCATCAACTGTGATTGCCCAATACGTTAGAGCTGATTTTGAAAGAAAATTGAAATGCAACAAATGATGTAAACTTTGGTGTTCACAATCGTTTAGCATCATTTTAGCCTGAAAATTTTTGACTTTCTAAAAATTTGCAGGGTTTGAGGCAAAAAATATTTTCTACTTGAATTTTTCAAGTCGACCTTAAAGTTATAGTTGTTTTTTTCAGTAATGGGTGAAATGGCTGTAAATCTGAGGGTACAAATTCCTGTGATTATTGTGGATGGTGTTGAATCTTCCGATCGAAATTTATCGACTGCCGTCGAGTTTCCTTTTTTTTCATTGATGTTTTTAATCAGTTTAATTGAATGCAATAGTTTTCTAAAATCTATCTTTTAGAACATCTACGCATATTATTCCACTGAGGCATATTCTTAGTTTAGTCCAGGGGTGGCGAACCTATATACACCAA